CAGCGGAATGAGCGGTCTCTTTAGATTAGGTCGAGGAGCAAATAGTGCCGGCACTTGGGTTGCAACGCCTTAGTCAAGCTGAACTTTGAGGCAAGGGCTAGAGCACTAAAGTCGGCGTGCACATGCATTCTAGAAGGCGCTTCAAGCCGCCGAATGGCTCGGGATTGCGAAACCGTTCCGAGGACCAGCAGGCTTGGTCCTGGCGGGTCTCCATGGTCAAGCCCAGGCGGCGGTCTTGAACAAAACGAGAGGGAGGTGCAGCTGTAGCGCATTGGCTTGCGAACCGTCATTTCTGCAGGGTTGACATCTGGATGACTCGGTCAAATGTGCTGCGGAACCTTCCAATGAGGCTGTTGTCTCTCGATGTAGAGGCCTGGGCAGAACTGCTCGAGTTGACGAGTTGGATAGCACTCCTCCCACATGGGACACCAGATCGCGATGTAGAGAACCCGAGTGTGAAAGCCACGGATGCAGTGACACCCCATCAGCATCCGGCGGGGAGGAATTGGCCAGAGCCTGGGGTCCTGGGGTCTGGGGTTTGACCCTACGATCCCTGTCGGCCGTATTAGGCGCGGTTTGCGTTGGGGACCAAATCGAAGGACCTCATCCTCTCGCGTGGTGTCCCTGGTCGCTTGAAACAAGCTGCAGCCAACGCTTGACAGGTGGAGGCGATAGACCGGTAGCGCAAGAAAGTCTCTGATTGATAAGGACCGATCATCACACAGGCTCCGCCAGCGAGTGATCACCGGTGCAAGGATCTTGTTTTTTCTAGAGGTGAAAACTGGAGCCGGTGACCGAGGTGAGGTAATGAGTAATAAGGACTGCCCCAGTTTCTGGAGAATCACCAAGATCAAGATGGATCTGATGGAGAGGGAGGGAAGAGGTTGGAGTTGGAGGGCATGGATGTGCCCCGATTGGCGATAAGGGCCTGGGAAATGCATTGGGAATGGGCTGCCCAGCCTGGAGGGTAGGAGCAGCCTAGGAGGGCAAGCATGCCGCACGCTTATCGGGTCGGGTGGAAGGCACGACTTAGACGGCGTTTCCAGAATTAAAAGTCCGCCTATCGAGGACGCCAACGCAAACAACGTTGGAACGCGCCTTCCACAAATTCAAATTATGCAGTGACTGAGTGTGAGTGAGCACCTCTACGGCCAGACTTGCAGCCGAGATGATCCTTTCGCCTGCACCAGCACCAGCACCAGCACCAAGGATCTTGTCTTTGCCTACCAACATGGCGAAACCAGGCACGCCTCCACTTCCCTCCACTTCCATGGCACCTGAGGGTTGGAATCATCACTTCTCGAAATTACTCCTGGGGCGGCGGAAGCACCGAGACTCGGATGCGGCTCGGTCCTCCCTGGGTCTCCTCTTGGGTCCCCTCCTGGGCCTCGTCCCCTCCAGCTTGCGGCTTGTGGCGTACGGCTTGCGGCTGACGATAGTTGGTGGATAAGGATAGGCAGTTGACGACGACTGGAGACAGAGAATCATGGTGCCCCTGCAATCATGGGTTTGGACAAGATCTCCGCCTACACACCCATCAGCCCCATTCCGAGGGAGACGACGGATTCCCGAGCCTCTCTCAAAAGTCAATTGCCCTCAAGCTGGGTAGAGCTCTGTCTCAATGCTCGAGCTACCGGCCCCGAGACCGCTCTTTGCCTTGGCTTCTTGGCTTTGTCGTTCCACTGGCACATCGTCACTCTTTCCTCGGCCCTCCGGGCTGCCGGGGTATTAGGCCGGGCGTTGAGCAGGCCCTGGTCTGTCAGAGACGCTGGCGAGTTGTTCTACCCGTGCTACGCACGACGACATACGCCCTATCGTGCCCTCACCGCGATCTCGGGTGGATTAGGGGGGGCACCCTCCGTCTAGCTGTGCATGGTTACGGTCCATCTGGCCGCCCTCCGTCACAGAAAGATGCAACACCATATACCGCAGTAGGCTTGTCGTCGCAATTGATGATCTTGTTTCCTCCTTAGAGCGGGCACCAGTCGTAGCTGGCATCGTCAAGGTGTTGAACAACATATTGGAGTCGTAACAAAAGCCAGCGAGCGGCTCCTGGCACCACCCCTCCTCCAGCAAAGCGATGGTCGTATCCTTCAAAGCATTGACGCCATGCTGGAGACCAGCGACAGGTTTTCACATCTGCTAGGACCCTTGACGCCGCTAATATACCCTTGATAGCGCGCCCCGCGACCAAGCATTAGGCCTTGAGTGACGCCCCATCTGTGCATGCAAGACGCCCGTCCTCGAAACAAACCCGTTCGCAACATCCACCAAGACAACCCTCATGGTCCGGCCTCGGCCCAGGTACACGGCGCACCATCTCGCTCACCAGGGGCCGCCCCTCCACGCCATTGCCATCTCGTCCGGCCCTGCAGCTAGTTGGCGAGATGGCAATGTCTAGCGGAAGAGTCCTTGTCCCCCGGAGATAGCTCGTTGTTCCCTGACTGGGTCACGTCCCGTCAACCAGCTCAACGCCTCGAGGCGCCGGGCCACCTTGGCGTTGGGTAATTGCTGATGAGCACACGCCCTGCCTCTCATTCTTGCCCTCGAATCGGACTCCTCTGGACGAGGACTCCGGAGGATGCTGGCGAGGATTGTTACCTACTTAAGGGGTGGGGTCCCTTCTTATTTGCCTCTATCTCCCTCTGCCCGAAGAGAGATAAATCCTCAGGTCTTCTTCATCTGTTGTCCTTAGCTCAAACATCCCACGTCGAACTGGTCCCATATCCCACGTTTCATACCTTATTTCTTTCATCCCAACCTGCTTTTGGCACTTGAAGCGCCTCCAGGAACTATCCCGGACCACAACCCCCACGCGCCGGACTGCTCCCACGCTCTGCTCCCTCCACCAGCCAATCCCGTTGACTGTAATTGCCCCAAGAGGCAACCGGCCAAGCCATCGACCGACTTCAAGTCTCCATTCTCTCCAACATCCCACCCTCATCCCACGCTTCGAGCATTAAGTTATTCTCGTTAGCCATGGCCCCAGCTGCTACAGGAGAGATTGCGCCAATGCATCTACCCGTCTGTCCCTCGAAGCCATCCAAGATCAGTGCCTCTGTCTTGCATGGTCCCCGCGATCTGCGATTGGTATGTGCTTCTAACCAGGTGACACGAGCATCGTGGTCTCAGCCCTATCCGACACCCGGCTAACTGGTATGCCACGCTAGGAAACGAGGACGATCGAGGCTCCCGGGGTCGGCGAGCTGCAGATTGCCATCAAGGCCACTGGCATTTGTGGATCAGATGTTTCATACTACAAGAAGTTTGCCAATGGCGATCTCTGTGCCTGCCACCCACTCTCCCTGGGCCATGAGTCGTCTGGTGAGGTTGTTGCCATTGGATCCCAGGTGACTGGCTTCCAGCTGGGTGATAGAGTTGCTCTGGAGGTTGGTGTTGCCTGCGGTCAATGCGGGATCTGCCGGAAGGGCAGATACAACCTCTGCAAGAAGATGCGCTTCAGGAGCAGCGCCAAGAGCTACCCTCACTACCAAGGTACTCTTCAAGAGAGGATCAACCACCCTGCCGTCTGGTGCCACAAGTAAGTTCTGCTCCCGCGGTCTCCTCTGGACCCTCCCTAACAGCTATACTCTGCAGGCTTCCCGACAATGTCTCGTATGAGGCCGCTGCGCTTCTTGAACCCTTGTCCGTTGCTATTCATGCGGTCAACCGTGCCAAACCGGAGCCCGGCTCCACTGCTCTGGTAATTGGAGCTGGCACCGTTGGCCTGTTGACTGCTGCCATGGCCCGCCAATCGGGCTGCACCTCTGTCACGATTACCGACATTGACGCAGGACGAGTCAACTATGCTGTCAGTCGAGGATTCGCGACCCATGGATATGTGACCCCACGATCACGGCTGAACTTGTCCAATGTCTCGTCTGGAGTCTCCACCCCAGACACTGGTGCCATGACCCCGGCGAGCACCTTCTCTGCTGCGAGCCGATTCGATGGAGCCAGGTCATTGGCTGAAGATATCCTTGCTTCCTCGAACCCTGCGGGCGCCTTTGTGCTCGAGGAGGACGAGGACGGCGTGGATGTGACCTTTGAATGTACTGGAAAGGAAGTCTGCATGCATACCAGCCTGTATGCAACCAAGGCTGGCGGCAAGGTTATCATGGTGGGCATGGGAACACCCATTCAGACACTCCCCTTGTCTGTTGCCCACCTTCGCGAGATTGACATCTTGGGAATCTTCCGCTACTCCAACACTTACCCTACCGGTATCCGACTCCTCTGCTCCCAGGCCAGAGGCGGCCCCGGCTTTGGGCTGCCATCCCTGGACGAGATGGTGACGCACCGCTTCAAGGGACTGGACAAGGCGCAGGGTGCCTTTGAGCTGGCGACCCGCACCTGCGACGACGAAGGCAACCTGGTCTTGAAGATTGTGATTGAGGCCTGAAACTCTTGAGTTACTTGGTTGAATGCGTTATGACTGATAGACAGAGATATCCAGGTGCCATGTATTTGGCACCATGTTTTTTATGACTTTCTGAAGGCGGGATTTGGGTTTAAAAATATGGGGGAACTGTTTGTCTTTGATGTTGGGATTTGTTATTTGGGATCTTTATAAAAAGTTGGGCTTATTGGCGGAAATGTTTAGACTGCTACTCCGGATGGGTTTCAACGAAAAGTTAAAAATATATCAGCAATAGACGGAATTGGACATTATCGTATGCATTCCCTTCAAGGTCCAAAACTTGAATGCAGTGTAGAGACACTATCGGTGATTCGAGAATAGGTGTGTAGGCATCCATATGCTGACATGATATTGTTCGTACTCATAAGACAGTCTATAACGCACCGTCATTTGTTCTTCATCTACCCTAACACCTAACGCCAGGCTGAAATGTTTATGGATGAGGCCCCATGGCGTGGAGCCCCGATGTTCGCCATTGCCCTCGAGTTCCTTGACCATATGCCGCTGGCCAACCCTATCAGATAAGGATATCACCCGCACCCCTAATATTGAAGGTAGCTGGGTCGACAGAATAGTCTGGGTTACCACCGCGGCGGCTAGTTGCCTTGGACATCTCGACAACGTTGAACTTCTTGCCTACGTCGCGAGCTTGGTTCACGCTCTGCATAATGCCGTTGAGGAGACCGACGAGATTGACGTCGTTGGCCTCGTGTAGCATCTCTCGCTCGAACGAGGCTTCATCCGAAGGGATGACTAGGTCTAGACGGCTGACGAGTGCCTGGATCTGGCGCAGTACAGTAGTCGAAGGAGTTGTATAATCGGCGTCCATGCTTCCAGAGTCAGTTGCGTCGCCGTTTACGTATGAGGGTGGTAGGCGCTCGAGGTAGGTGGTGAGGAGGTTGATGCGGGACTGGAGCATCTTGATGGCGTTGGCCTTGGCGGTGAGGGCGGCAATCATCTCGTCCTCCTCGGGCGTGAGAGCGGCGGCATCATCCTCCGGCTTGCGCTCCTCGTCCTGGCTCTCGACTAGGCGGCGCTTCCCCTTGCCGTTGGACTCGACCGATAGTGAGGGCTTCTCCTCCTTGGGGGCGGCTACGGCGGCGTTGCCTCCTGATGCGGCGACGTAGTTCATGCTAATCATCTCGGTCTCGTCGGTCTCGACTGAGTAGGGCAGCTCGCGGAACTTGAGCTTGAGAGTGGGCTCGCCGTCGTCCATCTTCCTGTCCTCGCCATCGTTGTTATCGGCGCGGGGATCGTCGACCTCGTAGTTGCTCTCGTAGATTGTCAATGGGAGTTTGCCGCCGACGGAGTGGTCGAGAACCTGTTCGGGGTGGAAGCCTAGGAGGACGGCCGACTCGTTCCAGCCCTCGAGGATCTGGTTGTGGATGGGGAGGATTGTCGGGGTTGGACCGGAGGAGGGAAGGAGGGTGTACCAGCCGACAAAATCGAGCTGTCTATCCTTGTGAACGGTGATCACTGACGAGGTGTTAGTGAAAGAAATCCGCGGCGAGTTGGAGGAGCTGCCCACTCTGCTCTAGGCGTGCGCCGAACTTTTCGGCGTGGAGAAGGTAACCGCCCTGCGTGTTGGGGGCCTCCATGGTGTGTGCTTCAAAAGCATGCTCGATGGTGATCTCGCGGCCATTTTGCTGTCCCAGTAGAGCTCCCACGATGGGCCCGGTCTGCTGTCGAAGAGTGTGCCGTGTGATGTAGTCGGAGATGGTCAAGAGAACGAGAGGATGGAGGACGGCCTGGAGCTCGGAGCTCTTTTGGTTGGAGAGGAGGGGGTTTGACGTTGCGGCAGCCATGATGCTGTTGTCTTGAGTGTAGATGGTTGATGTGAGGTCGGAGTGAGCTTCCACTGTAGGCAGACAGCGTGTGGAATAAATGATTGCCCCGCGTTGGTCGGCTTCAGCTTAAGTTGGTTGGTCACTGACCGTGTGCGGCTCCGGACGTGGGTGGCTCCGTAAGGATGAGAATGTGGGGTTGCCCGGCGTTGACGTTGTTGGCCCAGCTCCAGCGCGCGGGTCCATTCCATTTCCATTCCAGCCAGTGGGTGGAGCGGAAACGTGACTAAGCTTGCTGGGCTCTCTCATGTTTCCCCCATGGATGGCAATTTCGACTCAATTTCAATTCAGCTCGACTTGCATGAGACCCTGAATTTACACCATCAAGAAGGGGGATCAAATCGACGCTGGTTCCTTCGCTCTTTTCAGAGACGACCTGGACCGTGTCGGCGTCTGTTCTGTCGTCACTCGTTGTCGCCTATTCGACCGAAAGCCTAGGGGGGACAATGACCCCTGCTGCTTTGAAGTGACTGACTGACATCCTCCATCCTTATCCATCAGGAGTCAGGCAGTCGCAGCGCAATCCAGGCATTGACAGACGATTGCTTTGTTCGTCATGGCTGCAAGTCTCCCTCGGACACTCGACGACAAAAGAAGCCTCCTTCTTTGACTTCACCCTATCAATGCCCACACCGGCCTCGGCACGGCTCTTTTCTCGCCGATTTTCTGTCTCCCCGGTGTAACTGTGTACATGAAACCTTTTTTTCGTTGTCCAGCGGCTTCTGCTACTGCTACTGCAAGAAGCTTTGGCAACAAGCATCTCCTTTGAGAATCTCCACCTCAAAGTAGGTCCCCCAGCACTTTTTTCTTTATTTCCTTTTTCCTTCTTTATCCATGCTTGGTTTTCCTCGTTCTCGCCCTCTCTTTTTTTTTTCTTTCTCATCTTATTTCTTTTGCAGACTCTGCTGTGCATAGAGGCTCACATCTTTTTTTTACACTTCACTTCATTATCCCCTTTCGCTCTTTGCCGTCTCTTCTTACCTGTGCCCCCCTTTGGACACCCTAACTGGCTGGGAGAATCCAGGATACTCTCGGCAAATCTCCAACTCATCTGATCTCAAATAGTCTCTCTCTTATCTACAGTACCTCCCATATTCCTCGACTTTTGGAGAACTTGGCAAAGACTGAGGGGCAGCACCAGCTGGGAGATTCGTCTCAGTCGAGTCTCATCTCGAGATCGCCTAGCAAGAACTCCTTGTTCCCTCGAGACCCTGTTACCTTTTAAAGGTGGACAGCCTTGCCTACCCACCTCGACGACATCCACCCCTTGTCACACCAGCCTCGCCTTGGACATACACAATCAAATCATATCATGGATTCTCATAGCGGAAAGCGTCACCACGACGACAGCATCGATAGTGCGTCGCCAGTACCGAGCAAGAAGTACAAGCAGGCAACATCGTTTGGCTCCGATACTTCAGCAACAACAGCCACTTCTACCGGCTCAATCGAGTTGGACTATCCCACAGTACATCCTCAGCTCCGTCTAGACACTCTACTACCAGCATTCAAGAGTGTGCAATACGATCGTCCCACGGTTCGATCAAGATCACCTCAACCTCCTTCACCAAGATCACATTGACGAAACCTCCCTTTTCTGGATTTCCAATTTTCAATATGGCACGGCACGGGACGGACTTGTTTTTATAAAAAGAGATTGGATACCGATACCACACGCACCACCACCCTCGACGGCGAAGGGGGGCAGACTTGTTCTCAGCATTCTAGACTCAGAATGATTCCCATTTGTTTATTTCTTCACGCGAGTTACGAAGTACACCGGTTTTGATGGGGGGTTGGTTACTAGGGATTTGAGTTACGAGCCCTCGACTTTTCCTTTTCTAGCGTCTTGTTTTCATCGTTGGTGTTGGGTCAACAACTTATAGAGCGGAGGGATCAGGATCGCGGAGAAGCAGCATCACTTATTAGACTGGGGGATATCCAAAGGAGGATAAGGGGGGTTAGGTAACGATGTATTAAGGGTACATGTACAAGTAGGATACGGCATACGCACCAGATTCTCCTAATTAATATTACAAACAGGGCCTATCCTGTACCAGCAAATTCCCATTCTTCATAAGCCATTCTTCATATCTCATTATTCGTTATTCCATATGCTCATTCACTGTCCATCTCCCACCACATGACGCTCTCATCCCTCCTCGAAGGGCTGATCTCAAAGTTGCGCTCCATGGTGGTCCTTGCGTTCTCCATGACGAGCTCCTCAACCCGGGCCATGGCGTCCCCGTCGCCCGTCCGCTTGGCCGCAATGTAGAGCGCCATGAGCTCGGCGTGACGGGACTCGTAGTCCAGCCTCACGCGGCGGCGCCGGGCTTCGGGATCACATGCCGCGCACGTGTCGTCGAGGTACTGAACCTTGACGTCGGGGGTGCAAGGCCGCGAGGCGGACGCGGTGCAGCAGGTTGTGGCGTAGTTTGTAAAGGTGTGGCCGCAGGCCATGGTTGTCTTGATGCTCATGCACATTCTGGAAGCGTTCGATCGAAAAGCTTGGATCAGGTGTTTGAGAAGGTATTAAGGTTGTGTAGATAGCGGGAGGTATAGAATCATGGATAGTTGTGGTGGTCGAGGTTGTGGGCGACTTGGCTGTGGCCGGCTTGTCCGTATGTAGTAGCACCCATCGAAGAGCTCAGCTTGAAAACGAGTCAGGTCAAGATATTAAAAGGGAAACGGGCTGAATTTCAATGAAATCCAAGAAAGCCTCCCTTCTCGCCCAACAAATCCCTAAACAAATCGGGGGAACCCCTGCTCAAAAGCCGGTGATTGAGTGTGTCGCATGATTGTCATGGCACAGAGCACCTTCACCGCTATACTACGCCTCACGGTTGCAACCGGCAAAGTCAAATTGGACGGCGCAAACGAGATTGAGGGGGGCCAGGAAAGGATGAGGCGTCGAGGCGGTGGGCAAACCGACGGTGTACGGGAATGATTTTGATTTCGAGTCATGACGGGGCTAATCCTCACGAGAATCACGGACATGATGGCGCGGTCTGAGTGGCAATGGTCTATTTCATCCAAGACAGGACATTTAAGCTACATGCTTGTCTAACCGTAATAGGCGCAGAGGGGGGATATATCTTTCCTTGGCATCATGTAAACAAACTCCAGAACTCCAGATATGGCACCTTGATGTGCTCATCATGACTCCTCCGACTTTTGCTGCTCCTCCCGAGGCTTGTCTTCTTCAGGACCTTGTTTGCCCTGCTTGATGCTCCTCCACTCCACACATAGTGCGCAGAGCAGTTGAACAACAGAAAGCGCCACAGCTGCAAAGAAGATTCTAGTGATGGCGTAGTTATAAGCACTCAGGACCTGACCCATGTACTTGGCCGGCACAACGTCGTGAAGATCCGTAGCGCCCGTGTTGACTACGGCCTTTGCGTCGAGGCCCGGGATGTCGGAGAGACGGTCCACGAGGCGCCCACTGAGGATCGTCTGACCAACCGACACGAAGATGGCTCCGCCGAGCTGTTGCATGAAAAACGTGATGGAGATGCCCGTAGGGATTTGCTCCTTGGGGAGGGTGGCCTGGATGGCGAGGCCGGCCACCTGCATTCCGAGGCCGACGCCGAAGCCGACGAGGAATTGATAGGCTATCCAATGCGAGGAGCCGGTGCTGGGTTTCAGAGTGGTCAAGAGTCCTTCGCCAACGGCCATGATGCAGGGGCAGAGGATCATGGAAGGCACATAGTATCCGATACGTTGGGTAAAGGCGGCGGATAAGATGCTGGCGACAACGAGACTGAGGACGAGTGGGATGGTGTAGATGCCCGATTTGACAGGGTCGACGCCCTTTGTTGCTTGGACTGCAAGCGTGTTAGTGACCACTTGTAAGAGTAAAGTGAGGAGTAAATACACCAAAGAGGAATGTAGTAGACGACAAGCATCATGGCACCTCCAATGAAGAACATAGCCCACGCACACGCCAACATAGTTCGCTGCTTGATAACCTTGACAGGGATAGTCGCCGTATCCGGCATCATGACCTGCACAACGGCAAACGCAACGGCCGTAAGGCCAAAGACGACGAACAAAAGAATCAACCGCCAGTTACTCCACGAATACGTCGAGCCACCCCACTGGAGCGCCAGGATGAGGCAGATCATGGACGGGACGAAGAAGAAGGTGCCCAGAGGGTCAAGACGGGCGATGTGCTTCGAGACAGGCTCGGACTCGTGCTCTCGCTTCGAGACCTTGAGGAAGAAGAGAAGAAAGACCGAGGCGACGGCGCCGATGGGGAGGTTCATGTAGAAGCACCATCTCCAAGTTGCTCGTCCGGCAAAAGCTCCGCCGATAAGGGGGCCAGCGACGGATGAGATGCCGAATATCATTCCGAACATGGCTGTAAGAGTTAGCGAGGTTGATTTACTTGTAGAACGAGGTGTAAAGAACATACATTGAAACATTGGTCGCTTATGGAGAGGGACCATGGGGATGATTGCCATCATCGAGCCTGTCATGATGCCCGCAGAGCCAATACCAGCAATAGCCCTTCCGATGATGAATGCCACAGAGTTTGGTGCAGCTCCACAAACAGCAGAACCAACCTCAAATAAGAGAATACAGGCCAAGAAGGTCTTTCGTAGATCGTAGAAGCGATATATACGGCCAAAGATGAGCTGAAACGCGGCAGTTGTAAGCATGTACGCCGAGCCATACCAGCCAATATCACCCAGACTGTCAAACTCGTTTGTAATCATGGGAATGGCAGTAGCAATGATGGTCCGGTCGAGAGCAACGAGAAACATGGCTGCAAGGACGGAGGCAATGATGAGCCAGAACTTGAGCGTCTTTGGTTTGTAGTTTTCCAAGGCTTCTTGTTGGAAGGCTGGGCCTTGGGGCCTTGGTGTCTCCACCTCGGGTTCATCTGAGGGTTGTTGTTGCTGAGTCTGACATTGTCGAGACTCGACCTGCTTCTCGGAGGATGGTCCGTTGATGTTTTCGGCGATGGTGTGTGTTTCGGTGGAGGATATTGAGTTTGTAGACTTTCGATCTCGTTGGCCATCGGGTTGAGGTGAAGTGTCAGGAGGCGACATGACGAGTTGAGGGAAAGTTGTCGGTGATTAAGTGGAAATATATTAACAAGGATGGATTCTTAAATTGAAATGTGAAGATGTAATTCTTTCTTTCGAAAATGAGATGCTTGTGAAGAGATACTCAAGTGTCGACTTATTGAAGCCTCTTGGCGTCCAAAGCCAAGATATATATATATATATCCTTCCATCGGGAGAATCAATGACCGGCTGACTTGGACAAATATGCGGAAAACAACCAAAAAAAAAAAAAGAAAAAAGGAACAAACTAATAACCGAGCCTAATAAAATTCGTATGCAATAGTACGCGTCCTGGTTCGACGCCTTGATAAAAAAAAACACGTCTTGAAGTTGTCCGAACGGCGAGGGAGCCTCAAGGTCGGATCCGGGAAGAGTGGGACTAAACCCGATTGGGAAACCCACGTCTCGAAACCGCCAAGAGCTCGTCCCCTCCTCGGGACCGACGGGTATAAACTCGACCCTCAACTCTTACATTGTCGCCGAGTTTCTCGTACCCGAGGACCAGTCATTACATACATGAACAGACCCTGAGCCCGTCACGTCGACTTCCTGCAGGGCCACACACTATCTGCTTGTCCTGGGCGATCCCCGAAGATCCGGGCCCAATCAGACCCCGAGCGGACCGTTCCATCGTCCATCGTGAGAGAAGGCGCCAAGCAAAAGAGGTACTCCTTTCGCTCGGGCCCGAGATCAGAAACAGCCCTACAGGATCACCCCCTGGAACACATCACCGCCTTTCTTGGGCCTGTCACCGGCCACAACTCGCTGGTCCCCCCCCGTCAATCTCAGCCCTACCCGCTGCCTGGGCAAACAACTTGCAGCCCAGCTGAAGAGGCCCTCATCTCATTCGTGTCCCGGGAAACGCCTCGTCGGGACCCATCCAAGCAGACCCATCCTCCCTGCTCCCACCACCAAAGGGGGGACCCTCCCGCGCCACCGACACACGGACGGGTAGCCCTGGTCCACTTCTCCGGTTCAGCCCCCGAACCTCCCGTCACTCAAGATGCCCTACCCCGATGGTATCCCCGGTGTGCCGGGCTCTGCCCCGCTGCAGCAGCAGCAGCAGCCTCTCGACCCTGCAGCTGTCAAGTTGACCCGGGGCACCAGCTGTGTACTCTGTCAGCAGCGCAAGGTCCGCTGCGACAAGAACAAGCCCTGTGCCAACTGCGTCAAGGCAAAGGTTGAATGCCGTGTCATTCCTCCTCAACCTCCCCGACGCCGGAAGAAGCGTCTACAAGAGAAAGACTTGATTGATCGACTCAAGAAGTATGAAAGTCTTCTGGCTGAGCATGGTGTCAAGGTTGATGCCATCGGCCATGAGTTAAGACCTGATGGACCACCAGGCGATGATGTTGACGAGCTGGAGAACGATTTTGAAGGCCTCAAGACATCGCCCGAGGCTAGCTCCTCTCCTGCTGCCTCTCAAGTAGAAAAGTAAGTGCCCCTTCACCTTGCCTACTTTCAGTCATGTTGACCCTGTCACAGAACCGGTGGTGGAACATGGTTCTCTCTGCATAAAGAGGTACGCCCCTGAGACACATCCACCCCCTCACTCTTCTCATACTAATTCATGTTGTAGTTCCGAGCAAGTGAGCATATGCTCCAAGACTCCTCAGAAGATGAGCCTGAAGTTGGCTCTACCATTCACCGTGCCTTTGACCGCATGTTTGCGACTGATGGCTTCCCCTTTATAATCGGCGGCCCCCTTGGCCCCATCACCCAACTTCATCCTTCTACCATTCACATCTTTCAGCTCTGGCAGATCTACATTGAAAACATTAACCCTTTACTCAAGATTACACATATCCCTACGGTGCAGGCACAAATCATCGAGGCGAGCTCCGACATGGCAAATATACCAAGTAATATCGAAGCTCTTATGTTTTCCATTTACTTCATGGCCATCACGTCTCTGGAGGACGCCGACGTTTATAAACGTTTCAACGAGTCCAAGAAAGAGCTTCTGGCGAGATATCATTCCGGTACTCAGCAAGCTCTCACCAAGGCTGGCTTCATGCGTGTCAACGACCCCATTCTCCTACAGGCATACATCCTCTACCTCGTGAGTATATCCAGGACAAGTCATAAAGATCTTATAGTAACAATCTCCAGTTCGCTGTTCGGTGGTTCGTCGACCCTCGACAAGTCTTTTGTCTTATTGGACTTGCTGTCCGTATAGCCCAGCGTATGGGCCTTCACCGGGACCCAGGCCAATTTGGTCTTCCTCCGTTTGAGGTTGAACAGCGTCGTCGAATGTGGTGGACCCTCGTTGGGTACGACCGTCGGCTGGGAGAAATGTCTGGATCAACCGTCACGGCCCTCTCCAGCGGTGGTGACTGCAAACTACCCCTGAATGTCAACGATTCAGACTTACACGTCGACGGCAAAGAGATGCCAACACCACACACGGGACCAACCGAGATGCTCTTTGCCCTCACACGCGTTGAGCTCGCCATGGCAGTTTCGAGTGACAGTAACCGTGACAGCTACAAGTTGAACAACCAAGAAAAGAGCCCAGCAGCCACACCTGCTGGCTCTCGATCAACAGCAACCATCCGTCTTGCTGGACAGGACGGACCCTCCTATTCCCTTGAAGGCTACTGCGCACACATCGAGGGCACATATCTCAGCCAATGCGACCCCAAGATTCCCCTGCACTTCTTCACACTCACAATGACCCGTCAGGCCCTATGCAAGATGCGCATCCTCAGCTTTCTGGTCCGTATGCACAATGCCGATCACGTACCGCTTAAGGAGATTGAACGGGACAACCTCTTCCTCCAGGCCACGCAGATGATCGAGTACGACAATGTTGTCCAATCATCCGAGTCCCTGCGGCCATTCAAGTGGTACTCGATGCACCACTTTCCCTTCCCGGCATACATGTTTCTCGTGCAGGAGCTGCGTCATCGAGTCTCCGGCCCCATGGTAGAGCGCGCTTGGGACGCCATTTCCAAGAACCACCAGCTGCGTGGCTTGCTCAACAACTACCATAGCCCCATGCACATTGCATTCGGCGGCCACTTTATCAAGGCCTGGGATGCACATGAAGCCGCCCTCATTGCAGCTGGCAAACCCGTCCAGCGGCCCAGCTTCCTTGGGCTTCTGCGAGAGCGTGCTGAAGCCCGCCGTCGTGCCAAGGCTGAGAATCGTCCTGACCCAGGACTCTCACAGCCTCAGATCGGTGTCCCGCGGTCACAGGCCGAGACGCCTTCGTCTTCCGCAGGATTCAACTCAGCCGCCGACCAGACCGCCTCTGGTTCCATGTCTGGTGGCCAGCAAGCCAACTCAGGATCTGTCGCCTCAAGCGATGAGCCAGGTGAGATGGACTGGACGTACCTCATGTCTGGTTACAACGACGCAGGAGCATATCCCCCGATGGGTGGCTTTGGAAGCTTTACCGGGGGGTTCGGCGGAGGTATGCCTGGCCCTGGTATGGGAGGTATGCCGGGCGTGCCTGGGATGGGAGGCATGGGAAGTCCACCAGGGGGTAACATGTTTGGCGGTAACTAGATGGTACAGGCAACTGTTTGCGCATGATGTGGCACGACACACGGGGGCGTCCTTATTTGCTTTTTTGGAGTCGAGACTGTGGGCAAGCGGGGGTGAAGCTGTTCTCTCAGGAGCGGGCGTCGAGAGGAACCTTTGACAACGAGACGGACGAGTCGAGAGAACCTGTGTTGTGCATATTTTATTTTTATATTTTATTGGATACCCGGGATGACAGGGGTAAGGGATGCACAGAACACGCATATCGCCTGCATCTGCGATGTTTAGGACTCGCAGTGTATGGTTTGGAACGATAGGGAGCAGAGCACTCCTCTCACTACTATTGTAGATAGGTATATAGAACCCAACTCAGGTTACTTGAACAAGAATATCTATTAATGACATTCACGTAAATATGTGTGAGACAGCCCTCAATACCAAGAAGCTAGAACCCTGAAACACAATTGTCAGCACCAACATGCAGACGCGACAAGACAGACGTCTCATGGATGCAGCCATGACGAGATCGATCCGCTGATGTTCTCAGTCGTCCGTCTATTGCGAATAGTATAGTATTTGCTTCCCTTCCAATCAAGAATCAGTCTTCTTGATCCCACCTATGCAAATATGCGCTCATTCCTCTCTCCTCCTTGAGACATTATGTGTGAAGATGGCTACGGTATGGGTATCGTCCGTCTTGCAGCCTGAACAAGTGCCGCCCCCGGCACACTGGTAACTTGACTCGCCTTCCATCCCTGGGTACGGATACCTTGTTCCCAGCCCCCTGCCTCTCGCAGCAGCCTAGTCTCCACCGCCTGACAAAGCCATTCATTGACCGACTGGTTCGCGAGACATTCTTTCATGCTGCTCTTCCCCTGTTGGATAGCAGGAGGCACAGAGTGCCGATCCTCGCCGTCCATGTGATAGGTCATCTCGAGGACGAAATGTTTGCCGTATGTTGCTTTTCTTCTGCGCCGGAGCGCCATGCGAAGTAACCCTCCACCCATGGCGCCCCAGCGACCAAGACCAACGGCTCAGCATTCTGCTAGGTATGTTGCACAACTCTAGCGGAGACGCGAGCATGCAGATGCGGCATGCGACCTGAACCTCGTTGGATCAGGCTCTGTCCAAGGTCCACAGCAACGGCTGACACCCCGATGACCGAGCTGTGCTGCTCGCCCAGCCGGACTTGGTCTGGCCTGGCTCTCTGCGCCCTTCTAGCACAGAGGTTTCTGTGCCCAGAAATCGACCCATCTAAGTTGTGCGTGAATGCGGGGGTTCCTGAAGGCTTCAAACACACTGTGCGCAAGCTCGTCCGCCTCGTCTTCCGAAAGTCCCATTGTATCAGGCCGACCCAGTATTGCTGTGATCCAATCCTCGGTAATGTTCTGAGTAAAGATGCCAATCTCTCGCATCTTTGCTTCGCTGTGCCATCGTCCCATGGGAGTCGACTGACACCGGGTGTTGATGTTGGTGAAGCCAACCTCCTCCAGGGTTTCAGCAATATGATTGGAAAAGGTCAAGTTCCATCCGTAGATAGCCGTAAAGTGTCCCTCGACAAGGTCGTAGAATCTGTTCATGGGATGGTCATCGGCAGTACCGTCTTCGGAGAAGACTCTCGAGATGACCTCGTGAATTTCGATCCAGCCTCCGGGCCTCAGTTCCCTAGCCCATATTGTTAGCACCTGTTGTTCCATCGTGCGCAACTGTAACTCTTACTCGAAAGACCTCTGAATGAGTTGCCGCGGTTTGCGCAGGGTTTGCAGCAGAGCCCTAATGTGAATTAGATCCGCATCGGCGTAGATCCTTGTCCATGGGCGGTTCTCGTCCTCGAGATCCTCGACCCGAAACTCCACGTTGGGAGGAGTCCAGTGTGGTTGAATAGGTGACAGGTCGGTTCCAATGACACGTGCGCTGGGGAAGTTCTCGGCCACTGAGATAGAAAGGGTCAGTCTGCGGTAACGTCGAGGCGAGGTGCGGAGGAACAGACTATCTTGTGCCCACAACCCAACGCCAGTCCCAAGGTCGACAATCTTTTGCGGATAGTCTCCAATTGGAGCTAAGAATAGCTTCCCATCCATGAGGTAGTCCAGATACAGCTTATGCTTCAGGCCCTCGCGAGACTGCTCGGCATCATCATTAGGCAGGCCGTAGCGACCTTGAAGGAAGCCTTGATATCGCCTGGCAGGTCAGTATCCAGCCATTGAGCGTAACCTGGAAAATATGACACACCTTCCGTGCTCGTACGAGTAAAGCTCTCGTGTGTTGACTGATGTGAACTCGGATGTTTGTATTGAGTCTCCATAATCCGATGATGGGTCCTCTTCAGGGTCGTTGCGGTCCATGGTTACAGAATGTCTACTCCGAGTCTAAATCCCCAACGAGGGAATGTGCTCGAGAAGAGACAATTGTGGCGGAGAAAAGACAGGAACGATGACAGGAATACATGGGCACACAACTAGGCTCAAGACAGATAGAGTCAAACTCAATGGGGCGAGACAGACACTTGGCCAGGTTAACCAAGTATGGACGTCAAGTGTAAGATGGGATGGGCGGTGGGTCGTGACTATATGCCGATAGCAGCTACAGAACGAGCTGATCCCAAGGGAAGGGTACTGGGGGGTGGAGGAGAGACCAGGAGGTAAAGTTTGGAGGGGTGGGATGTGACAGGACCAGGAGAACTGGGAAGCCGGGACGCCGATGAAGCCCAAAGTCACGCCCTGGGGCCCAGGACGGCGGGACTGCGGGACGTTGTCTGACAGAGAACTCAACTTGCGCAGGGCAGGGCGCTCGAGGACCCAGCAGACCGGGCCGTGGGGAGGGGAATGGTGTAGAGGTGCTGGCCAATGCGAAGAGCGCGCCTCGAGGGACCGCTTCCAGAAGCACGGGATGGAGGGTGGCCGGCGTAGGATGCAGGAAACCTCCCAGAGGTCTGGTAACAAACAAGGTGGCCGTGGCCGTTGTGGGACGGGATGCTTTCTTCAGCCCCAGCAGCCAGCCCAGGGCCCCGAGCCGTCGGGTCAAGCCGAAACCCTTTTCAGGAGCCTGCCTGTGAGATAACCACAAAAGTGCACCGATCAGCGGCCGAGCTGCGACCTGGTTATGACGTGGACCAAAGGGTGAGTCCAAAACGACCCAAGTTGAGACGGTGCCATTCAGCTAATGCACCGGAATGGATAGATGGACACACGCCGACGAGATGAAGGACCTTGCTGCTGCTGATGCCCTCCAACTCTGAGTGGGTAAAGAGCGGTTTCTCCTTCAGACGAGGAAAACGTTGTCCGAGCACGTCGAGCCATGCTTACACGTTGCGATTTTAAATATCCAAGGGAACCGTGTCGATACAGAGTCATCGTGCCATTATCTCGATCGACCCCTCATTCATGAGCCGCTAACTCATGCACACCAAGCGAAGGCTGGGAGGTGTTTGTCACCAGTTCGGCTCGACCTTGGTGGCATTGGATGGCATGGCATGGGCGTGCCATTCCCGTACCGGTGTGGACCACAGTGCAAAGGACCCCACCAGATGAGCTCCGATCTGCGCGCTCTCGGTTCGGACTGCACGACACTCGACATGGCTGCGCTGCGCTGCGCTGCATCGCGTTATGGAGGCATTTCTCCTGCAATCATTAGCCTAACAGTCCATGCTGGTTCTGCAGAGCCAACCCAGCCTGCATTCAGTTGCAACCGTCTGCAACCCTTGCGAGGCCTGGGTGTTCGGGCCGGGCATGCCACAACTGCCGTGTTTCGCCTCACTTGCCATAGCACAGCACAGCACAGCACAGCACAATGTTGAGCATGGTTCCTGTCCGCCCTTTCATCTTCTGGCAGATCTCAGGGGTTGAGATGCCACTCAAATTCGAGTTTCAAGCTCTAGAAAGTTGCTGAACCACCTGGTCGGTAACGGTGTTCGTAGCCGAGACGATCCCAGTGGGTAGGTATTAGTTAGTGTCAATCCGCCTGGCGGATTACCAGCTACATGCTTGCTCTGATCCTTTCGCTCCGCTCAGCAGTCAGATCATTCGTGAACCTTGACAGAGTGTCTGTCGAAAGGCAGGACGAGGGGGGGCTGGACATTAGGGTTTCTACCTCGGTCGGGGCTTGGTAGCGGTCAGCGAGGTTTCTCGTTTCTCGCGCTGTTAGTGACAGGAGGGGAAGAGGCGCCCAGGTTGTTGTTGTTTGTCAAAGCCTCGCTGCAACCCTATCAATTAGACTTGTCAGGGCTTGTGCCATCCCTAGTCCCCGAGAAGCCTGCAATTTATCAACCTAGGGTCCAGCCCAGGCCCCAATGCTGGGAACTTTGTAGCGACAGGGAGTTCGGGAGAGCCGAAAGTTGACGTTTTGACGTTGCCGTGCCGCAATGGCGCTTGAGTATGCTTGCGGTGCGGCTGACGATGTTTCAGACAAAGAAGAGTGTGAAATTGCTCAAGCAGGGTTGAGAAGGGGTAGAATCAAAGTCTGGGAAGAAGAATCTAGAAAAGTTGCGTTAAAGAAGGAGGTTGTCGATTGGAAAGTGCACTTGAGGTGCTTGACCTCCGGTTCATGCGGTCGCCGTCTCTGAGTGGCTGGACTCCCCACGCGGTCTAAGGAAAAGAAGAGACACCAGTACCAGCATCACTTGCCTGCCTCAAACCTATTCGGTACAAAGAATCGCAACTAATTTCTCGAGAATCTATAAAGTATTGATTCTTGTCATCACAATCCTTTCCTACATTTTAGATAAGATATTTCATTACAATACAGCAGTATTTGCTCAGAGACTTTGCCCGCCTGTCCCCTAAAGCTTATTTGCTTCAGCGCTTTCGGCCGCCGTTGCATCCCTTTTTGGAAGGAGGGGCAGCCCTCGCCGCCTAATTCGTCAACCAGGGAAGGCGCGTCATGGCTCACTGACGGACCGTGTAAAGTCGCGTCGCCAAAAACACGTCCATCCAATTTGGCTGGAGTGGCCCATGTGCAATCGAGACACTCGCTTGGTTGCTTCTGCCATACAAACCCGGACTCGAGATATACGCACATTTCGACCGTTTACTTTCCTTATCACATTGGCTCCTTTGCCGATAGTTGATCGTCTCAGCTCTATTATTCTCTCTTTTGTCAAATTTCCTCCTTGCCTATCCCTTCAGCCCTGAGCCACCTACTTTACGCGACACCACGCCAACGCGCCAACTTCACCCCTTGACTACTTTTCTCCTACTGTCACTTAATCGACCACGCGCCCATGAAATCGACGACATACAGATATAGCGATCGAACCGCTCCAAGGACTTCACAGCCATGTATCTTCCTCGGTCATTGATCTCGAAGCTATACACTCACCTCCAACAAACTCGGCATCCGCTCTCTCCACCCGTCCTTATCCTAGTCGCCCTCGAACCAGATGCTCTCTGCGCGTGCAGGATCCTTACGAGACTATTGAAACATGACTACATCCCACACAAGATCCAGCCCGTGGCCGGGTACACCGACCTTGAGAAGGCCGGCCGAGAACTGGTGATACCCATGATGGAGTCCCAGGGCGGTAGCGGAGGTGTGGTTGTATGCCTAGGCGTGGGAGGCATGGTCGATCTTGGCCCGCTTCTTGGACTCGAGCCTGAAGGTGACGACTCTCCCTACAGTGGCGTGGAGGTTTGGGTCATGGATGCTCACCGGCCGTGGAACCTGGGAAACGTGTTTGGTGGTCTACCTCTCGATCCCGCAACCGAGATCTCATCATCTTATCAATCCAGAAGCCCACCGGGAGTTGATGGTGGCAAGATCACACGTGGTTTTAGACCAGGCAAGGGTGGGATTGTGGTTTTTGACGACGGTGATATCGAGGAGGACATGGAGACAGAGCGAAACGCCTATCTCGCTCTGGTGGACATGCCCGAGATTGACGAGAACGACGAGGACTTGGGAGATTCCGACGAAGACGATGACGAGCATGAAATTCAACTTTTGGCGCCTGTTCATGCAGGGCAGAAGCGTAAGAGCTGGTCAGACGCCGATGAGGATTTCAGCGACGACGACAGGCCTCGGCAACGGCGGAGGAGCAATTCAGTATGTGCCCCGGGTTCAATTGCCGCGCAGTCATGACTAACAGTCTTCTAGTCAAGTCCCATTCCAGAGTCACCGCGACGTCCTCAGCCTCGAGGCCTCATATCCTTACAAGATCCCACCGTCGGTCTGTCAAGCGACCCAGTCGAGCCTCCGTCCGGAGCGCAACCGCCAGCAGCTGCATCGGCACGCACACTCCGAAGGCGACTCCTACGAATACGACAAGAAAACGAGGCTGTTCTCCATCGTTATTACAAGGTTGGCTCCTCCTTCTCGGAGCCACTGTCGTCGATGATGTACTCGCTTGCGTCTGAACTTGGTAGAGAGGATAACGATTTGCTCTGGCTTACAATCGTTGGTGTCACATCCATGGAGCTATATGGCCGTTCATCGGCAGGCATTGCTGCTCCTATCAGACAGAGTGACAGGAGTCGTCCTACGGGCTGGCTAGGAGTACGAGGAGCCAGGATACGACAACTCCTTCGTGATGAAGTGAGACGTCTAAACCCACCAGAAATCGCAAACGGGCGTGTTGCTGCGGAGAATACGGGCGTTATCCCCACAACAGCTCGAAATCCGGAGGATACTGGGATCCGTCTATCTCCTGAGCCCAGGTTCCTACTCATCCGACACTGGAGCCTTTATGACAGCATGCTACACTCCCCTTATCTCTTTTCTCGCCTCAAGACATGGAGCGAGACGGGTATCAAGCGCCTCCATAAGTTGCTTGCTAAGATGGGAGTTAGCTTGGCCCAGTGCAAACAGAGCTATACGCACATGGACATGATGCTCAAGCGGGAGCTAAGGGCCAAGCTCTTGAAATATGGCTCGCTCTATAATCTCGATGAGATGGTACCGTCAGTCGACACCGATGGAAAAGACCGCGCAGGCGCCAAAGATGGCTGGGGATTTGTCCGAAGCTGGGGATGGCGGGCAACGCTAAGTGCTCAAGATGTCGGTGTCGTTATAGGTGCACTCCTTGAAGTAGGAAAGCACGCACAAACAGCAGACAATGCGCTAGCAGCAAGTCAAGCCGGGAAGGAAATCGAAGAGGAAGCCGAATTCGTGGCGCAAGGAGAGGAATGGGTTGGGCGATTCTGGGAGGCGTACGATGCCCTTGAGGAGTAAGTCGACCATGATCGTAAACCAACGAACTTGTACTGACAGTCATGACAGCATTGATGCATTGAAGAGTGGTCTTCCCACTGCCCAATTTCTTCACCGCGCAATCTATCGAACAGGAACTTCTCTCATCAACAAGAAACAGATCAAACATCTACGCGCATTCCGTATGTGCGTTGTCAAGGATGGGCCTGACGTGTCACTCTTCACACATCCCGCGGCACTTACCAAGCTCTCACTATGGATTGGAGAAGCCCTTGCTGAACAAGAGAGAGAAGCTCATGGAAAACTATCACACGGCGGCCGTGGTACACCTCTTGTTGTAGCCAGCCTCAACGAGAAGCGCGGCGTATACGTTGTTGTGGGAACCGGCGGTGGAGGTGGCCCAGACACGACGTTCCTTGATAGAGAGGCAGCGAAACAACGGAAAGTTGAAAGAGAAGAGAAACTAAAGAAGAAGGAGGAATCGCGACTTGCTAAACAGAAGGTTCGGGAAGACAAACGGGCAGCAAGACGAGATGCAGGAGACGACGAAGACGAGCTGGAGACAGAATCAGAGGCATCTGACAGCTCAGACTCGGACGAATCAGAAGACGAGGATGTTGAGCATGAGAAGGGTTACGGCTTGAACAAGTTTGGCAGCGCATTCCAGGAGGTTGTATCAGAAACTAACACACGAGTGCGCATCGACAGCTTCGAGCACTGTGTAGTGGAGGTGAAGAAGGAGGATCTTGGAGGCTTCCTCGAGAGTCTGAGTATGAAGGCGGTTGTTGGTTGAGAGCGTGTATAGTGGTTGAATGAGACTTGTGGCGTCTATGGTGGTGGTGATTCGTCATGGCACAGGTAAGCAGACGGGATGATTAGTTTTTGAAATCTGTTGGAGCTGGGATGGAGTAGGAGTATTCAGGCGAGGGAGGCATCATATCATGACTTGGGAAAAAGCAGCATAGCAGAGCATAGCATGCACGCATGGCCGGAACTGAACTGTCTGTGGCTAATGATACCTTGAATCAAAGTTGAAACAAATGAATCCTGTCAAGTCTCTTGTTGTGCTTATTCTTTATGCCCCAGAGTAGAAGGTCGAGGTTGGATCCAAGGAACCTGGCCGTATTCAACCACCAATCGATCGACCTCGGTTCCCTGATTACTTTTCCAGCACTGGGATGAGTGACTGCTGATTGGGCCACGGCATCATGAGCCAGGGCATGAGCGTCAGCAACAAGCAAAGTCCACCGGACACGGTGAGCAATCCCCACCGCTCTCCCTGTACAATCCTGATGTCAGTACCGGCGCGGTGCTTATTTGCGAGCCGCCTGCACGGGTATTGATGAGGATCCTTGGTTAATCAGGCTTAATCAGGTTTACGCAATGTAACACTAGCATGATAGGGCTGACGGGCGACATGTTGGGGGGAAGGATGAGGAGTATAAGTACTCGGTAAGAGCTGGAGGAAGGGTGCCCAGAGTGAGGGGATGTCTCGAGTGGCACTCTAGTCCACTTCGATAATTGAAACGGGAGCATCATGAGTTCTAAAACTTGGGCTGATGGCCCATTCCCGCTCATTAGCGCCTCAATATCTGGAGACAATGTGAGCAACTTCAACAACAACCAACTTACTTGCTAATTCATCAAAAGGTAGAAAAGCCAGTCCAGGGAGCAAGGAAGCTCGCGGCCGAAATGACACTCGTCCACAACCTCATCCTCCGAGGCATCAACGCAATCTACAACCAAGCCGCCAACGTCGGGGTCAGAGGGGCAGACAAGGACAAGCTCGACTTTTCCAACTTTGCGTACCAGTGGGGGGCCATGCTGTCGGAGCACCACGACACTGAGGAGAAGATGGTGTTTCCGGAGATTGAAAAGATAACAGAGGTGCCGGGCCTGATGGGAGACAGCGTGGCAGAGCACCATGCGTTTCATGACGGACTGACGCAGTACATGGAGTATCTCGACAAAGTCCGGAACGGCAACGATACTTATGACGGAGAGAAGCTGAAGACCATCATCGACTCGTTTGTCCCGGTAATGCAGGAGCATCTAGTCCACGAGATCGAATCGCTCGTCAAGTTGACAGATCATGAAGATAAATGCGACTGGGCAGCCTGGTTCAAGAAGACGGTCGACGCCATTGTGAGCAAGGACATGAAGGACTCTGAGTTTCGGGCAAGTCTCCAACCCTCAAGACGCTGGACGAATAAGCTGACAGTTGCAATGTTAGACTAACACGTTTCCTCTAAGCATGATCCTCCATGACAAGACCTTTGAGGGCGGCGTCTGGAGCAGTTTCCCACCTGTTCCATGGCTGGTCATGTGGGTGATGAAATACCTGTTTATGTATACACGTAAAGATTGGTGGAGGTTCGCGCCATGCGACTACAACTCACAGCCCCAGGAGCTACCATTTGCATCATGAAGCGGCAGAAGACGCTGTGTGTCAGTTTGCTTTTAGTAGTGAGCAGCGAGTTGATGCAGAATCATGGATTCTAGAAGCCCTAAGCTGTTGCAGAGGAAAGAACGGAGTCATGATAGCATGGCTTGTGGCGGCCCAATGAGGCTGGGGATAATGTCGAAATCGAGGACGACAGGGAGGCACCTTGTTTGACAATGGTTCGGCGAATTCGAGGGTGACATGGTTTCGTGTGGGTTTTGAGGCTGTGCACCGAGACCGGAGGGACGCTATCTGAGGCATCATGAGGTGCTGCCTGGCTGGATGATGGTGGTTGGGGCGGATGATGTAGCCATCAACGCCTTCATGACAAGCAAACAACGAGTATTTTTTCATGATCTGAATAGCACATCGCATCTCTTGCCTTGCACAACTGTTCATCTCCATCATCAAAGATAACAAAAAGAATCCATGTCATGGCTGCAACGGAGCTTACCAGGATGGGTTAAGCAGCCCAACGGCGCTGACGCCTTGGTCTAGTCAGGCGGGCGCAGCAGAGCTTATTGACGATAGAGTCGTGCGTTTCCGACTTGGCATACAACGGGCTCTTGGTACCTTTTTTGCCAGGGAGGGAGCAAGGTAATTAGGTACCTTTGCTTTCGTTGAATGGGTGGTTGTACCTTTTGGAGAGCCAGACAAGGGTTTGTGTTGCTGTAGCGTAGAGATTGGCAGCTAAACCGGTAATGATGACTAATGCCAACTTGGGACTCTCCAGAACCAGTTCGTCTTTCTCGGTGCTTTGCAAGACTCCGCCACAGCCACACAAGGATGAGGAAACTCACTCGCCTGCTCGCCCCCCGGGTATGGCCAGGGCCAGATAGTCAACGGAGCGGTTGCCGTAAAGAGGTGGCAGGCGTTGAAAGAGGCAAGTGATTGGCCCTCGCTCGGCTAGAAGGTCGGGGGATGGATGTAGCGTTCCATGTTTGAGGTGGGTTTTTTTTTTTTTTTTTGCGAGGATAAGCAGCAATGCATGGACATCTGAAGTCTGAGAGACATTTTGGGTCACGTCTTGGATTGTACAAGGACTCACGATAGACCAATAATCTCGAGTCGTCGCGTCGGGATTCGTCATCAGAGCCAAGTCGGTCTTGGAAGACGGAAAACGAGGATAGACTGAGATGCCCTTGTCTGTCCATCACAACCTGCTGCGGGGTCCAGGTCCGTCACCCATTGATTGACCCCGCCCCCACTAAAGCGGCGTGTCCCCAGTGGGCAAGCACCTCAAGAGTCCGAAGGAGGGAGGGAGGCCACCGGGCTAGATGAGGTGCACGAGGCCCCTATGACCTGCTGAACAAGGCGCTGAAGGCCCGCTGAAGCTCGCCCTGCTTCAGGTCCCACGTTTCAAGAGCCGCCTCCAGCCCAGTTCCAGAGAGTCCCCCAGATCTCACTCGCTCCAAGGTCACTCACACACGCACACTCGCTCGCATCCATTCCAACTTTGCCCGGCCCGTCATCCACATCCACATCCTCTCCCTCCTCCAACCCAAACGTCTTCCTCTTGTCACCTAGCGGCCTCCACTCTTACGACGTACCGGTATTCCACCACCACCGCCCCAAGCTTGCTTTGCTTCGCTCACTCGAGTGCTTGCATCCAACACTCTCCCCTTTGAATATTCTCGAACCCCAGAACCTGAAACAACATCTATACCTATCTACCAACTTGATGATCGCGATCAACGGCTTGCTGTCACGCCCACCACACGCCCACCTCTCACGACCCTGAAAACCGCCTCCCCCTCACCAAGGTCCCGTCGTTTCCACTCGGTTCCGCCAACGTCGCCTCTTCTACCAAATCTTTGAGACGTCAACTTTGATACACCCATCGACGACTGCCCGACGCCTCTCGAACAAGACCCCTCTATCGATTTCGTGAACTGTCTCCGCAGTCCCTCGTTTTCTTGCCTTCGAGACGCTCCGGGACATAGACGGTTGCGCAATTTGCGCTCGCTATCCAGGCCCCGCCGATACACGATCCGGACTTTGAGAAGCCATGGGCAAATCGTGAGTGCATCTTTCTAATCTGCGTCTGTCATGTTTTTTCGCCGTCCTTGCTTCATTGGCGTTGCCTCCCCCGCGCACTCCGGTGACGTGCATCGCCCTTTGAGCCAGAGCCTCGTCGGGCGCAATCGCATTTGTCAACATCGGATCCCCGCGGAAGCTAGGGACCGACGTCATTATACTTGGATCGGCTTAACCACGATGACGGTTTATAATGCTGACAACTACCGTTCCCCCATCTAGGCAGTCCAAGCTGTCGCAAGACCAGCTCGTCGAGCTTCAGAAGTCGACTCACTTTGACAAGAAGGAGCTGCAGCAATGGTACAAGGGTGAGTCTGCCACCGCCGTCGTCGCCACTGCCAATCCCTGGCCGCCGTGTCGACCCCCATCTTCGAGATAAGACGGTTTGCCTGACAATGGGTCCCTAGGTTTCCTCAAGGACTGCCCCTCTGGCACGCTCACCAAGGAGGAGTTCCAAAAGATCTACCGACAATTCTTCCCGTTTGGGGATCCGAGCTCATTCGCCGATTATGTATTCAACGTGTTCGATAGCGACAAGTCGGGCAACATCGACTTTAAGGAATTCATCTGCGCGTTGAGTGTTACTAGCCGAGGCAAGATGGAAGACAAGCTGGACTGGGCCTTCCAGCTGTACGACATTGACGGCGACGGCAAGATTAGCTACGATGAGATGCTCAAGATTGTTGAGGCCATCTACAAGATGGTGAGTCTGGGGGTTCTGGGGATATGTTTTCTCGTCAGATGCTAACGTTACCCAGGTTGGGTCCATGGTTAAACTCCCCGAAGACGAAGATACCCCAGAAAAGCGAGTAAAGAAGATCTTCCGCATGATGGACAAGGACGAGAACGGCAGCTTAGACATGGAAGAGTTCAAGGAGGGAAGCAAGCGAGACGAGACGATTGTCTCGGCGCTATCCCTGTATGACGGGCTGGTGTAGAAAGGCGGGAGAGGAGAAACGACAGACAAGAGACAAACAACCCACTCGCCCAGAAAGTAGAAAGAAGGTTGAAGCGGAAACAGCATGAAAAGGAGGGCTGACTGACGGGAAACGCCATGCTTGACTTGGCCTGGAGTGTGAGGAGCTTGTGTCTTTTTGCTTTCCTTGTTTAACTCCTAAGGGCACGTCCTCTTTTGTTTTTTTGTTTTTTTTTGCGAGTGAGGGTCTTGGAGATGGTTCTATGATTACGGAATAAATCGTTCATGTGTCTAATGAGGATGAGCTGGTTTGTCGAGTTCGTGAACGTATCGGAGAATTGCTCAGTGTCACTGTCCGGGATGGGCCACGGCCAAGCCACGGATACTTGGCAGATGCTTGGCTTGGTCAGAGAGCTGGGGTCCTGGGATGTAAGGGTATGTTTATGCCGGTTGGGTTTATTCATGGGTTTCTGTTTTGGAGACTTGGTTTATGAGGCGGATGATGGACAATACTTGGTCGCGTGGGTAGACAAGGAGGTGAGTAACATGGAGCAAGGAGTGGGAGCAGTTGGAGCTTAGCCAGGCGTTTACAGTTGATATGCCCAATTACGAATATCACGTTTCCTTTTACATCACGCTCTCTTTCATATAAGTATTTCTTCTTTTCCATCATTAGTGTTGAATCCATCTCCCCTGCCCTGGTCCATCATGAAGCTCAATATGGAAAAGCGGATCCACTCGCAACCACCAGCTCAGGCACTTTCACCTCAGCTTTCACCCATCGAACGACGTTTCTCCATCATCCCTCATGAATTGTGCAACAACCTCAAAACAGTACATCTTCTTCACCTCTCCTCTTAGGAGCCTCATAGTGTGCCCGTATTTTCATCATGGGCTCTCTCACCGCCCTCATAGACCAACTGGAGCCCGAGGTTGAAGATCCAGAAGAAGGTGAGACACATGTTGTGTACTCGAAAGCTTCAGTCACTAACTTGGGAATAGAAACGTTTATCCTCTACTCTCAGCCTATTCCCTCGCTAGATCTTGGCTTCATCGACCCTCGCGCTGCGTCAGTAGACGTCTCTGTCGCGGGGCATGACTTTACTATTCATCAGTCACCTGCCGTCCTCTCATCATCTCGTGCAGGCGGCACAACCGGAGCAGGTCAGGACACACCATCTTATTCAAACATTCGTCTCATTTCTTCATCTCTTGCAACTAGTTGTTAAAACTTTTCGACTATAGTCATCTGGAAGATATCCCCCAGCTTCGCCTCATGGCTCGCCTCCCCCTCCAACCCTGTGTGGGCTGCAACCTCAAGCTCCCCTTCAGTACTTGAGTTGGGATGCGGCATCTCCCCCCTGAGTGCCCTCGCTCTCGCCCCGCGCGTCTCCCGCTATATCCTGACGGACCAGTCTTACATCCACCGCCTACTCCAGCGCAACATTGACGAGAATCTTGAGACCGTTCTGGGCTCTTCTGGCACTTCCACGCCTACGGGGAGGTCTAGAAGGAAGCGTGGCGGCCACGCTCACCCCCTGTCCAAGCCCAGCATTTACTTCACCACACTGGACTGGGAGACGGACGAAGTGACGCCAAGCTTGACGGGCTGTCACGAGACTCGCAGCTTCGACGCCGTCGTTGCCTGCGACTGCGTCTACAACTACGCCCTCGTGTCGCCCTTTGTCCAAACCTGCGTCGATGCGTGCCGTCTACGCTCCACCGACGATGCCTTCACGGGTGACGACTCACGACCGTGTATCTGTGTCATTGGCCAGCAGCTCCGCAACTACGAGGTCTTTGAGTCATGGCTCGAGACGTTTCACGCATCCTTCCGCGTCTGGAGAGTCCCCGACGACGCCCTCCCAGAGGACTTGAGGTCCAGTGCTGGATTTGTGGTTCACATTGGCGTCCTCAGAGACGAGATGAGGTAGGGAATAACCTCAACACCCTCTTTGATCTTTACAACATGTACATCTGTGTCTTTCACTCTGTTTGGACATCGTATTTCAAGATCTAGCGCGCAACTGCGTCTTTCAGATTCATTCGACTTGGATCAACTCCGCGTTGAAGCATCCATAAATCTCGACTAGAAAACACCCCGTAACTAATATTGATGCCACTTTTGGGCACCTTTTTCATCCATTCATTCATTCAACCACGGAGCTGGCGTTACCAACCTCCGTCCCGTTCCAATTCCAGAAACCAAAATCAAATAATGCTAATCGCAGCAGTATGCCAGTTGCCCAATCCACTTCGCCGTAAAGACCATTTTGATATAAAACCTCGTATGACCGCTACCAGCTGGTCATCTCGATTACCAATCCAGGGGCTCCTTCTTCTCCTCGCCACGATTTGTCTTGGGGACGGCCATGGCCTTGGCGGCCAGCTTGCCACCCTGTCCAGGGCGCTTCAGGTAGCCAGTGCCGTCGAGCCAAGGGGTGTTGGCCGTCATCCGTCGCTCGAACTCAGCGATCTTATCTTCCTGCTGCATGGTGAGGCCAATGTCGTCGAGGCCGTTGACCAGACAGTGCTTGCGGAACTCCTCAACGTCGAAGCTGCAGATGGTCTCGCCTGAGTCCTTCTTGATGAGCTGGTTAGGCAGATCGATCTCGATATCGCGTCCAGCCCGGGCCTCGGCGGCGATGGCATCAAGGTTAGCCTTATCATCGATCCTGATGGGCAGCATGCCGTTCTTGAAGGTGTTGTTGAAGAAGATATCGGCAAACGAGGGGGCGATGATGCACTTGATGCCAAAGTCGAGGAGAGCCCAGGGGGCGTGCTCTCGAGAGCTACCGCAACCAAAGTTGGGTCCGGTAACCACCAGGATCTTGGTCCCTCGGTACTTGCCCTGGTTCAGGATGAAGTCGGGGTTCTCGGAGCCGTCGTGGTTGTATCGCAGCTCGTAGAAGGCAGCAGAGCCCAGACCAGTTCGCTTAATTGTCTTGAGGAACTGCTTAGGAATGATGGCGTCGGTGTCGACGTTGGATCGGTCCAGGGGAGCGGCGGTACCCTTCCAGATGGTGAACTTGGGCAGACCGGCCGAGTCGTTGTCTCCAGCCAGAGTGTTGGTGTGAGGCTGGGTGTCCAGGGGCTGGTCACCAATCATCTCCCGCTCCTCAGAATCGTCCTTGGTCCTCTCGTCAACGTGGGGCTCCTCAGCAGGCAGCTCGCGGGCCTTGAAGGTAGAGTCGTGAGTGTAGTGAGACAGCTTGCGGACATCAGCCAGCTTGCCCACAATGGCGGCGGCGGCGGCCATGACGGGGGACATGAGGTGAGTTCGGCTCAGGGCACCTTGACGACCCTCGAAGTTTCGGTTTGACGTGCTGGCGCATCGCTCCCTGGGGGCCAGGATATCGGGGTTCATGCCCAGGCACATACTGCATCCAGCCTCACGCCACTCGAAACCGGCATCGAGGAAGATCTGGTCAAGACCCTCCTCCTCGGCCTGAGTCTTGACAAGTCCAGAACCAGGAACAACCATGGCGCGCTTGATGTTGTCGGCAATCTTGCGACCCTTGACCACGTTGGCAGCGGCGCGCAGATCCTCAATTCGCGAGTTGGTGCACGATCCGATAAACACCTTGTCGACGGGGATATCCTCCATGGGAGTACCGGCAGTGAGGCCCATGTACTCAAGCATGCGGCGACCAGCAGCCTTCTTGGCCTCGGTGCTGAAAGTCTCGGGGTCCGGAACAGTGCCGGTGATGGGGACAACATCCTCAGGGCTGGTTCCCCAGGTCAGGGTAGGGATGATGTCCTTGGCGTCAATGAAGATATCAATGTCGTACTTGGCGTCGGGGTCCGATGCCAGAGACTTCCAGTAGGCGACGGCCTTGTTCCAGGTCTCGGAGCCATACTTGGGAGCCAGGGGTCGGCCCTTGAGGTACTCAAAGGTGATCTCATCAGGGGCAACCATGCCGGCACGGGCACCACCCTCAATAGACATGTTGCAGATGGACATGCGAGCCTCCATGCTCAGGCTGCGGATAACGGAACCGCAGAACTCAATAACGGCACCGGTACCTCCGGCAGTGCCGATCTTACCAATGGCGTGGAGAACCACATCCTTGGAGCTGACACCGGGGGACAGCTCACCATCGACCTGTATCCTCATGTTCTTGCTGCGCTTGGTGATCAGACACTGGGTGGCCAGCACGTGCTCGACCTCGGAGGTGCCGATACCAAAAGCCAGAGCTCCAAAGGCGCCATGGGTCGAGGTGTGGCTGTCACCACACACGACGGTGGTGCCGGGGAGGGTGAAGCCCTGCTCAGGACCGATAACATGGACAATGCCCTGTCGCTTGTCGCTCAGGCCAAAGTATGTGACGCCAAAGTCCTTGACATTCTCCTCCAGGGTGACACACTGGGTTCGCGAGTCGTCCTCCTCGATAAACGAGGCGATGTCCTTGAGGGTCTTGCGAGAGGTGGTGGGGATGTTCTGTGACGCCTCATGTTAGCCGATGCCAAGATTCCAGGTTCAGATGCAATTGGCAAAACCTACGTGGTCAGTGGTGGCCAGAGTGCAGTCTGGTCTTCGGACTTTTCGGCCAGCGTTCTTCAGGCCCTCGAAAGCTTGCTGTGAGGAACTCTAGTTAGCGGCTGTCGGGGCCAATGTAGATCCTTTTTAGCAGGGTGAAGATAAACTTACTGGTGATGTCACCTCGTGAACCAGATGTCGGTCTAATGGCATTTTTTGTCAGGCCTTGCTCTTTTCAATGCAGAAAGCAATAAAACTCTCAAACTTACCGATGTACAGAAGAATTGTGCCATCCAGCTTCTCGTCGACGATATGCGCCGACAGCACCTTGTCGTAGAGGGTCTGGGGGGTACCCACGGGAGCAGGCATTGTGGCGATTTGTGCGTGAGACAAGATCGAGTCTTTGGTAGGCACACGAGATGTGATTTAGAAGTAACAGGAGGAAGAGGAGCGTAAAATGGCGTGCCCAGGAGAGTGAGAGAAGTATGTAGAGAGTGAAAATGGAGAGAGAAGAGAGAGAACCTGGACTGTTCACCTCGAGGGGAAGATTTTATGATGATGGAACAACGTCCAAGGAAGAAACAGGCAGAACTGGAATTGGGAAAGAACAAGAAAAAAAGACGCCCCGACCCTTGGACTTTATTAAATTTCCCAAGCTGAGCTGCCCCCCTCCCCTACCTACGGACCAACTCTTCGAGCTTGATAAAAAAACCAGACAGGGTGCCATTTCTTGGGAGCGCCGATGATCGGAGGGGTCCGTTTGCGGCGCCCGTCAGCATTCCGAGGTCACCAACAGGCCAGACGCTGGCAGACAGAGACGCCAGCGCGGGGTAGCCCCACACGCCGCACCTGCCCTGATTGCTAAATGACGTGCCGCCATTGGCCGTCGCTCCGATCCTGCCGGCCGATGCCCGCTTCTTCAACCTCCGATGCGAGCTTCCATCTCAGACAGCGCTGAGGAGCAACCAAGGGTTCCATCAATTACGACATTAGCTTGCTTCTCAGCGGGCGCCTGTACGTTGCAGTACTTCGCCCTTGCCCGACATTTGGAGGGCCATTAACCCACGGTTATCCACACTCTCCTATATCGCTGTTGCGTCTTTCACCCCGTATCTATCATCTAAACCTCCAGCAAACCTCAATGCTTTTTCTCTGCTGAATCTCTATAATTAATACAATTTTCATTAAAAGGCCATCCTGGCCAATGCTCTGACTCTGCCAGTGTTATCAATGCCTACACAACACGTCCTCATGCCACCCCTTTTCCCTCCGTAGTCGCCGAACCTCCCTGATGCCCAGCCCTCCGGACCCGCCATCGGCGCACGCTTTGCCCCGGGTCAACATCCATATCACTTTTCTCCCCTGCAAAAGGGCCTGGCACAAAGCCCCGCCACCGCCTCTCCTCGCCGGCACCGGCCGCTTCCCGAGTATCCGCCCGGCCGTTACCTTACACTCCGGTCAGGCTCCGCCGAAACATGGCCAACGTTCCAACAACCAAACATTCCATTCTCTCGTCCTCATACTCATTCATGCAACGCTTCATGATAGTCGTGAACTCCATAATCCACACCAAGAGCACCACCATGCTGAATATCAAGGGAAATGCAAGAGCAAATCTTGCCAAGTCCCTCCAGTTGTTGGCCTGGCCATTTCGCACCCAGTACTCCGATCTTGAATCAAAGACAGGCTGCACCGTTCGCCAGTACAGTTTCAAAATCCATATGCAACACCCCTTCACCGCATTCGAGACCTCCTTGATAGCATCCCATAATCCTCGTCTGCCGTCTTTGCCATATCCATTACTGGAAGGATCTGCGATGCCGTCTTCGGCGTTGAGACGAGTGGGAAAGCTGCCTGGCACGTGCGCTGTCAGGTCCATTGTCTGATTGTTGGCTTCTGTGCCGTGTTCCAGCCTCTGTCTGAGAAGGTATTCCGGGTTCTTGCAGGTCTTGTCCTCCTGGAGGGTGTCTGCCGCTGTCGTGTTTCCCACGTCGCCCAACTCCATCGTAGAAGTTGATGTGGACAGACTGTTGCACTGGAGACTAGCCGCGGGCACCTCTGACGTCGGTTCTGGCTCTTTGTTGGAAACACAAGTCTCGGGGGGTAGTTCTGGGTACCGCTCTGTGAGCTCTTGGTGTCTCGATATAGTATCGATTGCTCGAGTCTCTGTTGCAGACCCCGATCTCGGCCAGGTACTCCGCCCACGATTCTCCTGAGAAATCTCCAACGCGCCTGGCGTTGTCCCCAAGCTTCGAAGTTTCTGAATCGTGCGGTTCGCTTTGCGCCTCTGTTGAAGACCTGTCTGTGAGTCGTAATCTGGTTTGAGGTGGGAGGTTGACATGGTCTGGGCGTATCCAGTAGTGGTGGTGATGCGTGTGGAAGCGCACGTCCGTTTCACCTCGTTGCCCTTGTTCGTAATGTCCCGCATTGCGTCCTGCGCCCAGGTTCTGATGCCGTTGCTGTCGTCTTTGCTCTTGAGTGTCGTCAAGCTCGGTTGGTCTACCAGGGCGAGCTTCTTCCTAAGGGTATTGACGTCGGCTTGTATTTCTTCCATCGTCATGAGCTGATCTCTCAACCCTGTACCGACCACCTCTTCTCTCTTTGGGGTCTGGGGAGAGCTGAGGAGATCTGAATCCGATGTCTTTGTTGACTCGTCGTAATCCAGGAATCCGGTTTCGCTTCTCGCTGTTGTTTGTGGGATCCAATCCAGTCGCTGCACTGTCGGCAACCGGCAGGGACTGTCCTTCACCTGCCGTTGGCAGTGCGACTCGTCCGGCAGGGCTCCTGCTAGCTGTGGGCTCTACACACTTCTTTCTAGGTTCTCCTGCTGGTATAACGACCCTAAGTTGGGGTGCGGCTGGTTTTCTGCTGGTGAATTGTGCACGATCGGGCTTGAGAGGATATGAAGGATAGCGGATTTCTTGGGGTGGTTTGTCGTCGAATCGCGCTCGGGGCTTTGGGAAGGAGGGCTCCTGCGATGAATGAATTCGTCGAGCATGCTCTTTGGCGAGGCCAGACTGAAGCTGTGATTCAGTGGCAGCGGGCTGACGATCTTCGAGAGACCGGGAAGTGAAGCGCTGCTGCGTGCTTTGGGGACCTTCTGTACCCCTCCTGAGTCTTCTTCCGCCTGGCGGCCTCTGCCTAAAAAAGGCATGACAACTCGCTTTTGACGTTGTTTTTGTTGTTCGCTTATTTGTGCATCATTGGCAACAGTCGCCGCTTTGTCGCCCCGCGGGTTCTTTGTCTCTGGAAAGCCACCCCGTCTTTCTGTAACATGCTGGGAGCGGCTTGGGTTGGCTTGAAGAGGGGAGTCATCATTTGGTCCAGGTTCAGAGGGTTCGTCAAAAATAATCCCATTCTCGAAGAGCTCCAGGGCGGTAGGTGACAGGTCTCCGAAGCGCTGTTGGTGAGGAGTTCGCACTACCGTGTCTGATGAGTCTGAGAAAGATCTTTGAGGAGATCCGCTTGCCTTTGGCCACTGCCTCGAAGGCGAACGGCCTTCAGGTGTACCCAGATCTACCAGCTCCTGTTGTTCGGTCATCCCTCCATTGACATGCGGCTGTCGCTTCCCTATATCAAGCTCGAGGTTAGTGGGTGTTGTGCAGAAGAGAAAGAAAACAAAAGACTGACTTGAAAAGACCGATTCGCTTCTTTGCGATTGGGCAATAGGGCTTAAGACGGGCTCCTGGGCTGATAACCACTGATGAGTTTTCCGTCGCCATCTGCCAGTGATAGAAGCTGTAGCTTGCTGTTGTTCGGCCAATCTCCGACTCCGTTTGTCATGTTGCTCCTGGGCTATTTGTTCGATGTGACTTTCGATTTCTTGCCTCGTAGCTTCAGACAAATTCATCTTTGATAGCCCCTGGAGCTCGCGCACCACTCTCATGGTGTCTCCGCCGCTCTCTGAGGAACTGGCATCGGGAACTCCTGTGTGAGGATTACAACCCTGGACACCGAGCCAATCGCCGCTCTCCTTCAAGCTTCTTCGTAGTTTGCGAGCCTTTTCCCTGGCCTCCATATCTTCCAGCAATAGTATGGGTGGCTTCTTCGCAGATACGGCAGAGACGTGTGGCTCCGTAACAGCTGCCGACTCGGGTGTCTTTTTCGATTCCATTGTTCCAACATCATCTCTTGCCCTACTGCCACGCATTTTCCCAACACTGAGGGAGCTCATATGAACCAAAGGAGTCCGGCTCTCTCTGTGGCTATCTGTAGAAATGCCATGACCTGCAGGAGCCTTCTCCCCCGGGAAACTGGGGTCTGGCAACGCCTCGCTGAGGTTTTTTGGTGTATTCCAAGCCGTAATTTGGTCCGAAGCGCGCATACCACCTCGTCGATTCAGATAGTGACTATCAGTGAGGTGACGTCGATGTTGGGAAGTGTGGCCTGTGGACGGGGGGATGTCCTGACTATCCTCACCAAGTGCCTCAGACGATTTCTTTGTCACCTGTTCCTCATTTTCCCAGAGGCTGTTCTTTCTCAGTGTCCCTCCTCGTTCCGGGCGGTTGCTCGGGAGCTTGTTCTTGAACCAGGCTCCTACGTCTCCCAAGGTGGTGCTCCGGCCAGGGTCCTGTCTAATTTTGATCCATCCTCCAACGTCGCCGAGTGTGAGCCTTCGGTTGTGCCCTTTCCCCGGGCGGGCCTCTGCCATCTTTTCAGGGCCTCCTCAAGACGGAGGTCCACGTCGGAGGAATGTCTAATGCGGATCAGGCATGTACGGGCTCGAAACGATGGACAGCTGCAAAGCCAGAGGACGATGGGATATCGGTCTATCATGTAGGGTGCTGCTTCTAGTTGGATTCGGCGAAGACAGACAAGACAGTCGTCGACACGATTTGCTGAACCTCACAGATGTCAGCTAATATGAGCGAGAAAAGTCAGGGATGGGCAGAACAAGAATGAATCAATGTGATAATGTTGACATCCATGGGTTGAACACAGCTCGCACAATCTTGTCCAAGAAGAAGGAGGTACTGAATGGTTTTACTCTCACTTCCTAGGTACCTACCCAGACAATTCGTACGTTCAATATTCGGAGAAGGCAGGTACAGATGTGTTGGAAGTGCAAAGGGCAGGTGGCAGCTACGCCCACAACACCAACACACTTTGCAGGATATGAAGATGCGAGTGGGCAGATAGGTATCTATTTGCGTAAAGGAAACCAGAAACAAAACCTCCATAGCACGAATAATCTTCATCAATAACGGGATATGCATGTCTTCAATTTCGCATCGAGATCCATATTCAGAAAGCACAACCTTAACGCCAGCCTGTGAATGCCGCCCGAAGTTGCGGTTGCCCGCTATGTAATGCAACTTGCACGTAAAATAAAAAGAAAAGAAAACATCAATCTACCACCGTGGGTTAGGGCGTTCCTGGGGGGCCTGTTTTCTACCCAGGTTCGCAAAGGGGTTACCAGCACTTGAGCCCGTCAATCTACGGTTCTCTGTGTGCTTGGAAGGAGTTCCTTGCCCCCAGTTCCTCTGCTCATACGCCGCCATCTCTCGCGAGTTTCGTGGAGATGCGGTCTCCTGCGAGGTGAGCTCATTCAAGCTCGTAGCTTTCTTTAGAGGAGACTTGTGATGGGTGTGAATTCCCATGCTACCACCAAAGTTGATATTTGCAACTCCCGATGAAGTGCCAGTTGAAGTATATCCAGCGGGCAGACTATGGCGAGGGACAGAACTTCTTTGGCTGGCGCTAGGTCTGTAGAGCTCTGAGCGTCGGCTAGCCGTAGGAGGTGTAAACATCTGCGGCTTCATGACATTGCTAGGAGTAGGGGTGATGTCTTTCTTTTCGGGTGTCCCAACAGATTGGATATAAGGGTTGGCGTGAGTCTGGAAAGAGTGCCGGATCTGAGTGGTCGGAGTGCCAGTTTGCACAAAGTCTTGGTACTTCTGAGGCTGGTCGTCGGAGAATTGCGTACCAACATCACGGACAACAGGGTGCAATCGAGGGTGGACAAACTTGGTGTCATACTCCTTCATCACCTGCTTCTGGATGATCGCCGTGTCCTTAGCTTGCTGCGTGAATCGAGAACAGAAGAAGAGTAGCTGTCCAGTAATGATGACCTGCAGAAGGAGAGTGTTGAAAACGGTCACGCTCGGTCGGGGGTCCAAGGGGGCCAGAGGCAGAAAAATCATGTAGACCAGCACATGGCCGGGACCAAAGAGGCAGAAGAGCCGTAGCGAGACTGGGAGAGGATCCCAGATCGACAACTCCCAAACATCGGAGCCCTTGTCGGGATGAGCTCGTGATTCGGCGGATTCCGGTGTGAGGATGCTTGCGAGGTATCTCAGGGGTGTTACCGGCGATGAATTGGACTGGTCGACCTTCACACGGCGTGCAGAAGGTGTCGAGAGCTTCTCCTCGACGTCAACTTGAAAAAGTCGGTACTTGCGGGTTCGCGTAATCGTGTAGAAAGCGTTCGTAGACGAGAAGAAGATGAGGATCCAGACCAGAGGGTAAATCTTTGATATTGTTTGGTTAGCTTTAACAAGACTAAGGGGGCCGAGGTAGCTCACAAAGAAAGCCAGCCAGCCAGTGCCAGCGTCATCACTGAAAACATCGTCGCTCGTCGAAGAAGCTGAATTGGCGCGCGCAACTAGGAACACAAAGTTCATGGCCAAGCCTAGTTGAGTGCCTGCAGTAGTCGAGTCCCAATCTCTCGTCTCGAGCTCCTCGGACAGCCAAAGCAAGAAGTCCATGGGATTCAACATGGACTTGATGCGCTCAAGGAGCGGCGTCCTACGAACCAAGCGCGGCATGGTGAGGAAAGTCGCAAATTTGGCCAAAAACACTGCTTTTCGTAGTCGCAATATTCGGATGGGTCGTCGTACGTCGCCGCTGCGAGTGGAAGAAGAGTGAGAAGGCGACGGCAGCGAGGCCAGATGTTGTTTACTTAGAGATGAGATGTTGGCTGTTGCTGAGGGCGATACTATTTCTTTGTTAGGTATCCTCTTAGCACTCTATCTTAGTGGCCAGCGCCTCTAGGCTGGGGCGCGGGGGGTGGTCAGAGCTTCAGGCAGGTCAGGTCCATTCACCAGTCGGCACCAGGCGGAGCCTCAGGCGCTTCTGCTGCGTACCTTACCTAACACACGAACCTCCCGCCTTCATCCTCGAGGACGGGATCGAATAACGAGTATCCCACGACATCACCTTCGCTCAAAACATTTGTCATGGCTTCTCAGGCGGATTACAAGGATCGCCAGTTTCTCGCCGTCATCGGCGATGAGGTATGGGCTTCCTGCGATCACGGGCTCTTGGTAGACGCTGTTGCGCTGACGTAGCTCGCATTCAGGATTCCGTAACAGGACTGCTCCTCGCGGGCATCGGTGTGAGTATCGCATCGTATTGGGCTCTCCTTCTGTTGGCTGACACAAGAGACTAGCACGTCACCACGGGCGCCGATCCTGAGAAGAACTTTCTCGTTGTCGACAACAAAACAGACACCGGAGCCATTGAGGCTGCCTTCGACCGGTTCACCGATGAGCGAAAGGACATTGGCATTGTACTTATCAACCAACATGTCTGAGGCCCGGTACATCACTTGAGATTCAAGATCCTGACGAGATTTGCAGATTGCCGATAGAATACGACACCGTATCGACACCTACACCGCGGCCTTCCCTACCGTCCTTGAGATCCCTAGTAAAGACCACCCCTATGACCCCGAGAAGGACAGTGTTTTGAGGCGCGTCCGACGTCTGTTTGGAGAGTAAGGGGGGCAATGGTATTCTCGGGGCACGTAATTCGGGAAGCGGGACGCATACGCAGTGTAGAAATGAACCTAGGCTAGGCAGGCGGTATTGTTATTCTACATTCAACATATTATCCAGGGCAATCCGCATGACTAGCTACGAGAACGTGGAAACGATACAAAGGACGGTTTCTCGTATATGCCAAATCGATTCTAAAGCCGCTGAAAGATGCTAAACGAGAGCAAGAAATTCGCCAAACCAACGTCAACCCAAGAGACCCATGACAACGTGCCAGTGCCCAATACTCAATACTAAGTCAACGCGCCATACGCATGTTGTTGTGTACGCCGAAAATCACCATTACAGGTCAAGACCAAACAAGCCCTTGCTACTTCGGGAAAACTCAACGGTCGCAGTCAGGCAGGTGATCTGCACATCCTCGACGGTGAAGACATCAGCCAGCACGGTGTACTTGCCCTGCACGAGGTTAGAATGATAATACGACAAAACCAGGCGGACATAAACATACAGGAGGAATCTCAGCAGGGAGGTCGACGGTCTTGAGGATTTCCAGGTCGCCAGCCTCGACGGGGCACTTGAGGTCGACGTTTCCAATCTGCTCGCACAGATCGGCCTTGGTGCTGATGAGGCGGATGAGGCCGTACTTGACGGTGAGAAGAACGTAAGCACCCTCCTCAATCTTCTGCTTGACAGTTCCCTTGGCCTTGATCACCAGCTCCTGGCCACTATCACAATGTTAGTACCATATCCCGAGCGCTATTATCGTTGAGCGGGGTAACCGTACGCCTGGGGAGGGTTGGGCAGCAAATCGACGCTGTCTATCTTGATGAGGTCGGCAGCATGGTCGCCAGGGCAGAGCTCGAGGGGAGAATCGCCAGGAATCTTGAGGTCATCGTTGATCGTGACGTCGGGCGCGCGGCCATTGAGGACGCTGAGAGCCGCGGCTGGCGCCAAGCAGGCAGTCAGACACGCGGTGACGGTCGAGAATCTCATCGTACAAAGGTCTCGTGCTTAAACTCGAGTTTAGGGGTCGATAATGGTGAGAAAGGTGGTAAAACGGTTGATGTCGTGGATGAAAGTTGAGTGCAGATGATGAAGAGGTCGTTATCAGGGCAGAATGGAAGATGGCGAGTGGCTTGGTGTTGAATGCGTCATGGGACCGAGGCTCCACCCTGATGGCAACCACTGGCCAAAGGCGGCTGGGGCTGGGAAGAACTCTTGATGCCTCACCGCCTTGCAGCATGCAGAAGGAAGCCGGGCCGTATCCGGAGGGCACCAAATAGGCTCCGTGCCTTGCCGTGGGAGTGCAAGCGTCTAGAACCTGCACGACAGAGCCGGGGAGAGTGACCTACAATGACGCTGGAATTGTTTGTCCGTTACGACAGAGAAATGCCGTCTCCTAGAGCCATCATGTCTGTTGTTACCTCAGCCGTGCAGCCTTGGTTGTCTCACGCTTGGCGCGATGTGGCTGTTGCAGTCGTAGTGGCTGACATCCATATCCATCTTGATGCGGCGCGGTCTCTCCGTTTTCGCTTCTCATTGATTAAAGCCCAGGGCAATCTCGATTATCGATTATCTGAGGCCAACCACCTGCCACATCCTCGCTCAGCCCCAGGCAAGAGCGGAGCATTGACGCCGAAGTTAAGGCACCCGCCGAGTCAAATCTTTGGGCCTCAGGCACAAGGGGTCCGCTTTGACGCACGGGCCATGTCATTTCTCTGGTATATAACCGCAGCCTTCTCCCAACCCTTACTTGTTTTCCTTTCCTCTTCATACTTACCTTATTCCGATTAACCCCGCTCATGAATGGGGGGAATCAGCGTGGAGGGCCTGCATTGCACAGCGCGGAGTAGCTCCATGCTCCATTGTCCTTCGGGACCATGGGGGGTGTAATTTTTGATTTACCACTTCTTTCATTGTGGACTGCTGCTTGCGGCGGCCATGAAGAAGGACATCTCGGAGTTGCATTGATGGTACTCGCGCACATGAATGCAAATGAGAGGACCCTGATGAATGGCGAAATGCTCGGCAATTATTGCTGTTAGGCCAGCATTCCTGTCATGTCATTTTAGGCAATCATCTGGAAACGCAAATGAGGCCACCCATGGAGTTCAGACGCGTCCGCTCCCCGTAGGTATCTCGCGAATGGGAGCGAGTCATGCCGGAATGACTGGGAACGATGTGCTATTGGGCAATACGGCGGCGCGGCGCAGGACCTGATGGGATTTGTTTCGAAGAAGCCACTTCATGTATTTCGCATGCTGGTCTTTTGCTATCTGAATGCGGTGCCAGCAGGGATCCTCGAGTAATGAATGCCCGCTTGTATAATCACCCAGGTTGGTCGCACTGTACGCGTTGAATGCGTGATAACACGGCTTTGAGCTTCCAGCATTTCCCCCGCTTCCGGTGCCCACCCACCATCCAACGCGGAGGGTCCATGGTGTGAAGCTAAGGTTTCGCGAGCCCAGAGATCCAGGGTTGCTGAGTCTCTTTCCATGAGGATGGCATAAAGATGGAGTGGTCACGGGGATGAAGCATGTTGCGCGTATCCTTCACGGGTAAGCAGAAAGGCCGCGACCCGGAGCCTGAGGAGGACAAGCACGGCAAAGCGCAGGAAGATGACTGCGACATGGATTGCTGGGGGAGCTATATGTACCGTGGCATGCAGATTAGTTACATGTGGTGCGTAGCACCCTGCCAAGGCCAGACCAGCTTGGTTAGTCCGAATACGGGACGTCGTAGCATGGCAATGCAAACACACAATGGAACACGAACAAAGAGATGCGTGAAAATGGCGTTTGGTATTCGGAAGAAATACAGGGCGTGGCGCCCCGGCTCATGATCACCCGAGCGTGAACGTGAATGTGATTGTGAATGTACCGAAGACTTGCCAAACTCACCTTCCGTCGGGAAACTTCAACTTCAATTCCTCCATGACAGCCTCCAACAGCCCGCTACCTACCCTTTACTTTGCCGTCGCAATGACGCGACCCCCATCACGTACCACACCCGACACGGCTTTGCAGCACCCTCCCTGCTGAAACCATCATGGAATCTCCTCACTGGCTCCAAGGCACGGTGCCATTTGCGCAAGCTCAGCTGATTGGATACTTTCACCATGCGCCAGAGACACGAAGCTTGTTCCCTGCCAGCCAAGCCAATGAGAGTCGGCTACGGGTGCCGTGCTGCGGTGGTCGCGCGCACAGTACGAAGGCTCGAGGCAATAAGGAAAAACAAACTGGACCTCTATTGACACGCTAGACTCGTTCCAGACGGGCTGCCTCGGCCGCTTCGCGTTGGCTAAAGTGGCTCACCAGTTTCACCACACACGACTTGTTTTTGTGGCGGGTGCCAATTTCCAGTGGCCCCCGCTCACCTCATCATCTCCACCGCCCAGCCGCCAACCAGATGCCACGAGCAGCCAGCAGAATCAGTCTCAGCCGGCGGCTGGGCTCTTCGCCTCTTTGGCTGGCACTGGCTGGCAGACGGCGTATTCACCCTACGTGCCTGATTCCCTGCAAAAGTGGTCGTCGTCATTTTGCCTGCTTGAAAATCTGGTGAAGCCCCCTCCCGACTCCTTCGCTTCCCGTTCATACCGAAATGCTCGACTCCTAGTGTCCGCCCATCAGAGAAACAAGACTCGCAAGTCTCGAATGGTGTCTTTGTTTGGACCTGACATCGCTCACCCGCCCTGGTTCCTTTCTTTTCTGCCTTGCCTTTCGAGTCTCGACGACCTCTCATCCTCGCGCCCCTGGCGGCCTTGCTCACGCCAGCGAGCCCAAGGGTTTCCCGCTCGTGTCTCTCGCCATCCGCAATTTCAGAGCCTCCTCCCCCCGATCTCCCCTCACTTGAGTTTCCTCCCCCTCCCCCCCTCCCAGCCCTGTGCTCAGCTGCAGCGGCCGCGTTCATGTCATCCATATCAGTGCCTCAGGCCGAGAAAGCGCCCTGCGTGCTGCACTAAGATTTCTCCCTATCCACCGCCAGTCAAGGTTTGGTTTAGCGCCAGATTTCTCTTTTTGTCCTTGTCTCGTCTCCTCTTCCATGTCTCTCTGTCCTGTCTCTTCTTGGGGGGGACCACTGTCCCCGTCCCTCTTCCTTCCCCTTTGGACTGCCGCCAACCCAGCAAAAGCCCAGCGGAACACGCCAGAGACGGACCCAGTGGTCCATTGGTACCCTCTGAAGCTGAGCGCTGCGCAAGGTGAGTGGGAGTCCCCGGTGGGCGAGAAGGGCGAGTGAGGTGCCGTTGATGAGGGTACCTTTGATGGGTACGTACCTTTTTTTGCTCCTCCGTCTGCCTCAGCCAACTGGAAACCCCCAGCAGGCGGGCAGGTCCCAGGTCGGTACCGCAGTACCGCACTCGTCTTGAAGCAAGCACCCGGCCTTGTCGCTCCTCCCCATCTTCTTCCTCCATCACCCATCCTTCTTCGTGCAGTCCACGATCTTCAATCCTCCCTCTCGTTACTGTCTCGTCTGCTCCAAGCGCTCCCCGTGTATGGATTGTGTTTGAGTAGTCTCAACTTCTTTTTCTCCTTTTTTTTTCTCTTAACGAAAGCCTAATCCACGTCGTCTCGCACTCGACACCTCGACCCTCCTCGCCTTCAACCCGGCCTTGACGGATCACAACGAGTTTTGCGAAAACACAAACCGAACGATCGTGTCCCCAACACGCCCTCGACTCGTGTCTTCCGCCCATATTCCTATTCTGGGCACCCGACTCATCACGACCATCGCCTTTCTTTCTCCCGTCGTCGCGGCGCTCGCCCTCCACCCTTGACGCTGACGCCTCGACGAGTCTCTCGAGTCCACGTTTCGACGCCTGCGATTACCTTCACCGAGATCTCTCGCCCTCCTTCCCCTGCCGCATGAGACTGTCGGCGACTATTCTTTGCGACTCTTACCTGCGGTGTCCCGCGCGCGTTCTGAACGGCGTCGTCATGCCCCAAAGACCGCGACGGTAAACACCCTACGATCCTCTCCAACGCCCACTGCCCTGTGAGCTTCACAACAGATTATGACCGACAAGACGGTGGCGCTGTCCACGCAGTCCGCGGCTCCTAGTCAGCCTTCGCCTCCTGCACAACCAGGCGCGACGCCCAAGAGCGACGTTGCCCGAAAGGTCGAGACGGCGGAGGAAGAGCCATACACAATCAAGTGTATTTGCAACTTCACTGACGATGATGGAAACACAATCTACTGCGAGACGTGTGACACGTGGCAACACATCGACTGCTTCTACCCTAACAATAGAGAGGAGGCGATCCGTGAGGACTTTGACCACTCCTGTGCAGAATGCAAACCCCGTCCTCTTGATCGCCAAAAAGCTATTGAGCGCACAACCCGTCTCAAGAACGGGCCCCCCGAAGACCAGCCTGCGGACAAGAAGACGAAGAGGCCCCCCTCCAAGGGCCACAAGAAGCGGGCCAAACCCAACGACTTGCAAATAAACGGCCATGCTGGACCACAGGAAAATGGAAAACATGGCCATTCCGCAGAACATCCTCCTCCTCCGAAAAAGGCAAAATCTTCCCATCGATCCTCTCAATCCATCAGCTCCCAGGCTCCTAAACGAAGCCCCTCCTACGGGAACGCGCGATCAAATCCTGCTCATCCTCCCAGCCCTGCAACCACCCCACCCGACCTTCCCGAAGATTTTCAGATCCACCACTATTCACAAGGATTCTACGACTTGTACAATGCAAGGGATGTCCCAGACTCCCACAATAATGCGTTTGCCAGTCTGGCCATCCCCACAGCTCTGTCCCGTTGGCTCCGCGAGCCGAACACCATGAGAAATGAGGTTGGCAGGCGTCATTCCGAGGTGTTCCAAAAGGCACCGGCAGACCTGGAAGCCAAAAAGCCCAAACTCGACGTAAGGGATGCCACGCGAACACTCGATGATGGCAAATCTCTGCGGTGGAGGTTTCTCAACTCTGCTACACCCATCGATAAGGACGTGCCCCTCGTCGAGTTGAATGGCGCGATTGGCTTCCAAAAAGACTACTGTGCCGACCCAGCAAATCTCTGGGCCGACCTCTCATCTCCTCTTCCCTTTGTTTTCTTCCATCCCGTTCTCCCCTTATATATCGATACAAGACAGGAGGGG